GGAGGCTACGACACCGCCCCCCCCCCCCCCCCCCCCCCCCCCCCCCCCCCCCCCCCCCCCCCCACCCCCTCGCCCCCCCCCCCCCCCCCTTTTTTTTTTTTTTTTTTTTTTTTTTTTTTTTTTTTTATGAACTCCCTGGGCATGGTCAATCAATCATGATGTCTCGAGGCCGTCACCCTTTCAAAGAAGGAAGTGGCTGTCAGTTCCACTGATTTTCTTCCTTTACGTTTTTTTCTTTTTATTAAAAAAAGAAAAAAAAACTCCAGGAAAAACGGATGTGAGTTCCATCGTTTTCTACTTCAGAAGTAGTAAGAATAGAACGTTGAGAGATCAAACCCTCATCATGAATGAATCTGGCCTGCAAGAACCCTACCATACAGACTGCAAGAACCCTACCATACACACAGTGTTACTCGGACTACAGGTTACTAAAAGCTTTCAGGCCAACGCGTGGCCTCCAAAAAAAATTTGGCTGCCCGTTTCTTATTTTATGCGAGCAGGAGGCCAGGTCTACTACCGCCCCTCACACAACTTTTTTTTTTTTTTTTCGACCCCCATTTTTGGAGGTGCGCCGCATGCAGTGCGCGCGCGTCGTGCGGGATGCACGGTGCGGCGCACGTGTGTAGTACAACGCATCGCGATGCGCCGCATGTATGATGTATATATATTGTTTGACTGTATATATTATATATATACATATATATTCGATATATATACGTGTTGATTGAATTTGTTGAATCTCTCCAACAAATTAGTAAACGATACAACTCAACATTATTGCAATATCTCCATAGATTTATAGACCTAGATGACCATCAGCTATTGAATTTATAAACAATTCATAAATATTAATTCATTCCAAATAAGAAGACTTGCATTACAAGAATACTCTGGTTCTCAATAAAAAGGAGCAAAACAATAATGGGAGACAATATCAGTTTTTGTTTATTACCACCATCATTATTCAAAAGTGACTAAATTAAAGGTTTCCTTTAGACGAGTCCAGTGGAATAAAGTTGACAAAAACAATAAACAAATGGAATATTTGACAAAAGTTGTTGAGACTGAATTTTGGTGAGCTAAATACATGATACCTCCCATAGACAACATAGCCCAAGCAAAACCACTCAAAATCTTCACTAAACTATAAGAATAAAATTAAAGATTTCTTCAATATTTATCATTAGAATATTATAGCAATTAAACTTCGCCGCATTATAAAGAATTGCAAGACATTATTTCTCTTCTCGGTTTAGATGAATTATCTGAAGAAGATTCGCCTAATAGTTGCAAGAGCTCGTAAGATCGAACGTTTTTTCTCTCAACCTTTTTTTGTGGCAAAGTCTTCACTGGATCTACTGGCAAGTATGTGAACTTAATAGATACAATTCAAGGATTTCAAATGATATTACACAACCATAAGAAAAAAACAACTAATACTTAAAATATCCATTAAATTAACTCCTGAAAAGAAATAAGTTTTTCAAATTCAATTATTGATTGAATTTGATTTGGAATAAATAATAAATTTAAAAAATACAATCCATGAAAATAGAATGATTTTTCAATAAAAATCAGCATATAAATTATCAGTTTATTTTCGTATTTCTGTCAATTAAAAAAACAATAAAATGTTTATCTATACTAAAAGAAATACAAAGAAGATGATTCATGAATCATCTTCTTTGAATTTCTTTATAGAGTCATATATAATGATTATAATCATAATCAATTTAGAGTAGGTTCATTCAAGTACGTGTATTTATACTTACAAGAGAATATTTATAATTCATTCTTATCAAAATGATTTTTCAGTGCCAGGAAAACCAGGCCCAGTGTCCCTTGTGAAATTGTTCCAAAATTTCAGAGAAATACCGGGGCGATTACCCGGATTCGTCTAGCAACCCCACCCCAACACACCCTTCCTATTCAGTTGCTTTTTCAGGAACAACATTGGTACGGTGTGAGGTGCAGCGCAGAGCGGAAGGGGACAGTAATTATTGAGCAGGCGTGGGTTCGAATGCAACTGCCCCCGCTCGTGCATAAGGAAGTTGGTGCAAACTGGCACAGGTTGATCATCATTTTTCTGAAAGGGCGACAATCTTGAGATATCATATGGAACTGACCGCCTGTCACTATCATTTGCTCAATTTTGCTGTTGCCCTTTTCTCACCCTTTTGGAAAGAGAGATCCAATCTATTGGTGGGGAGCAACACCTGCTGAAAAATGGGACCAGCGTCTATACAAACAGCATTGCCGTATCTTGGAATCAGCATTGATTCCATTCCAAAGAGGGGATCTAATGCATTCCCTTGATGTCAGCAAATTCTGTTGTATAACTCCTGCTCCCAAATCATGCTACCCATCATGCTACCCATCTAAATCATGCTACCCATCTCCCTCCCCCATTACTTCTGAGCCTAATTGCCGCTAGACCTTCAATGCTATAGGTTGGTTTGTCTGCCGAACATCACTGAAGAAACTAGTTTGGTTGGCAGTTTCAAAGGAGGAAAAGCAGAGACAAAGGTAGAGGGGGAGGGAGGGTGGTGGAGTAGTTGGTAAGGGGGAGTACTCAGAGATCAACTCGGGCAATGATGGCGAAGAGGGGAGAGGATATGAGGAAGCTTTCAGGGGGGGGGGGGNCCAAAAGACTCCAAATGTACCCTTTTAAGCCCTTTAGTCACTGTTTATACCCCCCAACCCCCCCCAGATGACCCATCACCGAAACCGAAGTTAAGATCGGATTCTGACTGCTTGGGCCCTGTCTCTTATACACATCTAGATGTGTATAAGAGACGAGGGTAGAGGGAGGCAAGCGAGGTTGGATAAGGGTGCAGGGATGGGTGACTGGGAGGAGGGGGGTGAGGGAGGCCGGATTCGGGGGAGATGAAGGAGCTTCAGGTCGCAGCAGAACGAACTTCATGGCCACATATGGAATTGAGAAATACTGTCAGTCCATGTATGCCAAGGTGTCCAGACTAGATTGTTTCCTTTTTTTTTTTGTTTCCGGACTAGATTGTTGTGCTCCTCCAGGTCGCATATTCTTCGTCCACATGGACCCAGACTGTGGAAAGGTATTTTATAGAATTGCAAAGAAAACTTAGAAGACAAAAGAGAAAACATAAATTGAGAAAGGGATAGCTTTGTGGTGGCTTTTTCTTTTCATCAATGACTAAGTACGAACCGTCTGCCTTGCTCATTTGTGGGAAAGGGGGGGAGACCACACCCCATGTCAGGTTTGCTGAAGCTCAGGACTATTCTGCCAATTTCTGCAGGCGATTGCAGTCAGATTCATAGAGTCTGGCCATAACTGCAGTCAGATACATTTATGAAAGTGCTAGTATGAGTATGCCCCCAGTCGGTACACACATGACCTGTTGAAATACAGACCTGAGTTCGAATCCATCTACTATGTTCAGTTGTGGCAGAGGGGAGGCTACGACACCGCCCCCCCCCCCCCCCCCCTCCCCCCTCCCCCCATCAGCTTTACTGAAGTTCGGGGCGTACTCGCACTATGACTTTTTCAGAGTTTTTCTGCTAATTTCTGCAAGTGATTCAGCCGTGAACCCATGAGTTAGACCCTCTCAAAAATTGCCCAGGTGCATGTGCAGGACCCTCTAAAAAATTGGCCAGTTGCAGCAGGTGTCCAGTCATGCTCGTGCTGGTCAAAGCTAAGTACTCCATGCTGCACTACTCCAGTGTCAGCACAAGAATTTAATAAAATTTATACCAATGGGCATTGTCACACATCTGCACGAAACAAGCTATTGGATAAAAACGATCCCCGTGTGCAAAGGGTGCAGTCTCTTTTTTTCGTGTTTTCTGTTTTTGGGTGCAGTCTCAGTGAGTATGCCTGCAGTCAGGACACCCACAGCCGAACCTGGATGCATCAGACGGCAATCGCATGCCGAGCTGAGTCGGAAAAGTCCTTGTGTGAGTATGGGCCTCGCTGCACCGCTCACCAAACGGCAAAAAGACACAACAAATGGCTGGTGTATCTTGTCCACAATTTAGGGGAAGCTACGTGCTCCATTTTGCACGTTCGGCGAGTAGCGCGGCGAGGCCCTATGCCCTCAGAATGTGGTCTTGTGTAATGAAGTGAAGGGAAAAACAAAACAGAAAGGAAAAATGAAGTAACGAGCAAAGGGGATTGGATTGGACGCCTGGATGTCGGAGTGTTTGTGGAAAGCAACCCCAGTGACCCCCTCAGCACGGACCCCTACCTCCCTCCCATTTGCTATGCTCTTCTTCCTGGACAGGAAAATGGATGCCGCCCGCTGCAACTCCAGAATGACCTGCATGGACTACTGCCAGTCCCCTGCCCTCTAAACTCTGCCACGACCGCTGCAGCTACCGGTCAGAGCCGTGCAGGCGACCTGACCCTTCCCCTGCACCTCGTTATGCCCTCTAAACCCCTCATAACGACGAATGACATGCCCAAAAAGGAACCCACCACTACGTGACAGAACGCAACCAGGTAAGGCGCATTCTCCTGGCTGATAACAGAAAAAAAAAAAAAAAGAGATTTAAGAGAAAAAGCGGCGCATCGCGATGCGCTGCACTGCGCACGTGCGCGCACTGCATGCGGCGCACCTCCAAAAATGGGGGTCAAAAAAAAAAAAAAAAAGTTGTGAGGGGCGTTAGTACCGGCCCCCTGCTCGCGTAAAATAAGAAACGGGCAGCCAGATTTTTTTTGCAGGCCGCGCGTTGGCCCGCAAGCTTTTAGTGATCTGTAGTTCGGGTAACACTCTGTGTGTATGGTAGGGTTATTGCAATCTGTATGGTAGGGTTCTTGTAGGCCAGATTCAGTCGTGATGAGGGTCGCGATTTCTCAAAACGTTCTCTTCTTATTACTTCTGAAGTAGAAAACGACGGAACTGACAGCCGTTTTTCCTGGAATGGAAAAAAATCAAGAATTTCTTTGCACGAGTGTCGCCCGACACGTCCAACCTGTCAGAACCTCAACGGTAATTGCAGTCTGTATGGTAGGGTTCTTGCAGGCCAGATTCAGTCATGATGAGGGTCCCGATCTCTCAAAACGTTCTCTTCGTAATTCTTCTGAAGTAGAAAACGACGGAACTGGCAGCCGTTTTTCCTGGATTTTTTTTTTTAATAAAAAGAAAAAAACGTAAATGAAGAACATCAGAATGGGCCTCGCCACACCACTCTTGAAATGTGAAAAAGACAAAAATGTGGCGGGGGCATCTGGTCGTGTTCTAGCGGGAAGTTCATCCCCATTTTGCAAATTTCGAGAGTGGTGTGGCGATGCCCAATTTCTTTGCACGAGTGAAGCCCGGCGCGTCCAACCTGTCAGAACCTCAACGGTAATGTTTACCAACCGGCTCGCTGCACTACTCTCAACATGCACAAGAAGACATATATGGAAATGTATCTTTCCATGTTCAAGC